TCCGAGAGTTACTAAAATAAAGACGGTGTCTGCAGTCAGTTTTTATTGGCATGGGTTATTTGAAAGGGCTGTAGAGAGAGAATGGAGAAAGTCTTATCACTCATGTTGCCTAGCATAATTGGTTTATTAGGCAGTTGGTGAACTAGGAAGTCATTTCCTTGGAAAATTATGTGGGATGCTGTACGGACATGAGAGGGGGAATTAGTAAATCCAGAGCATTAGTATTGCTTATAGAGCTTTAGGATCCTGGGAGGGAAGGAGAGAAGAGAGTGCAGTCATGAAGTCGCATAAACCAGAACTTTAATCTAGCTCCTACCACTTTGTAGCTCTGTGAATGTGACCTTATACTGCGTTAGACAGCCCCCAGCCAATCTCTCCATTTAATACAATAATAAAAATGTTTCCTAAATATCATTTGTCAAATATATTTTTGTATGAATATTTAACAACTTTTCTTTAATTATCAGGGCTTCAAAGACAATGTCTACCGTAAAAGACGGAAGTATTTTGCAGACTTGGCTATGAACTATAAACAGTAAGTGTTTTATAAAAATAACTTAACCAACTTTAAAATAATAAAATCAATCAATCAATCAATATATAATACTTATTTAGTAAGTAGAGAATAAGATAAGTGCTATTACTTATTGAATGCTAATTCAAAATAACTTCTTCCCTTTATCTCGTTAGTGGAGACCCCATTCCAAAGGTTGAATTCACTGAAGAGGAAATTAAGACCTGGGGAGCAGTGTTCCGAGAGCTGAACAAACTTTACCCAACCCATGCCTGCAGAGAGTATCTCAAAAACTTACCTTTGCTTTCTAAATATTGTGGATATCGGGAAGATAATATCCCACAGTTGGAAGACGTTTCAAACTTTTTAAAAGGTAATAAGCTAATTAATTTTTTGTAAGGGGAATGTTGAATTCTGTTTTGATCATGACAGAATTTTTAACAGAGGAGTAAAATGCAGTTATATGAGAGGTCAGAATTTTCCTGTACTCTGTCCTGGAGTATTAGATCCTATATTAGGCATCACATTTGAAGAGGGGCAATCATAACCATGAACAGATGTAGAAAAAATGAGCAGAATTATAAGGGGATTGGAAAATGTATCATATCAATAAAATCTGAAGGATTCTTAGGGTATTTGACTTAGAGATTTAGGAGATATTATAGTTTTGTATTTAAATATTTGAGAGTAATCTTATATAATAGAGGGATTACTGTATGGCCCTAAAGTAAAAGACTATTGGATAGAAACTGCAAGCTTTTGACTCAAAATGAGGAAGACCTTGCTGAAAGAGCCCTTTGAAAATAGAAGAGTCTTATGAGGCGGTTAGTTCCCCATCCATGGAGGTAGTCATGCAAAACCTTCACTCCCTCTTATCAGGGATGTGGTAGAGGAGATTCAGGCACCTTGGGGAAGGAAGGTTGGAGGAGATGATCTGAAGCCCCTTTCCACATTAAGAGTGTATCATTTTCCAATGGGAAAAGATATGCTAGTAGAGCAGAAATAAAGGGTAAAGACAGTTTGTTCCTTTCAGTTCTTCATACTTGTTTGGTCTAGACCTCCTTATTTTTTTCTAGCTAGTATAGGGAATAAAGTGATCAGTGATCTCCAGGGTCTCCAATATGTAAGAAAAGACATTTCCTCTTTGATCTTAGTAGATTAGAAACTTAGAGAAAAAAGATAAATTATGTTTTTGACTCCAAGGGAGTTTAGTTTATTTCCATCATGGTCTGAACTTACTATCTTTGAGTTTCTTACATAGACTGTTATAAAAATCTGTATATCTATTCAACTCCATAATTCTCATTTTTCAATCACTGTACACAAAACAAAGAACTAAACAGAAAAGGGCAATATTGTTTTTACAATGGAAAAACTCATGTAAATTGTTCCTACAAAAACTAGATTTAAAAAAGTAGCGATTATGGATGACAGAACCAACAATGCACATGATCTCATGGGACACGGGATAGACAAGCACAGGCTATAGAAGTTGTATGAGATTTAGAAATATTTTGATTCGGATACAAAAATGAAAGCTGTTCGCTTGGGGTCTGGAGCTTGAGCTGACTACAAAACATGTTGCTAAGTGTCAAAGAGAGAAACCAAAATTAGAAGACAGTTCAAACATAACATCAGTTTGAAGGGGCTACCTGCACTGTCAAATACGATGGTCACTAGACATATGGTGTTATTTAAATAATGAAAATTAATGTAAATAAAAATGTTAGCTCCCGAGCCATACTAGCTACATTTCAAGTATTCAATAGCTACATATGGCTAGTGGCTACCCTAGTGGGTGGCCTACATATAGAACATTTCTGTCATGTGGAAAGTTCTATTGGACTGTGAAATCTTCCCATTGGAATGGGAGAATTTAGGTACAAAGCAAGTAGGTGGAATACCAGAGTGTGAGGGTTTGAAACGAAGGGCAGAATTGGAACTTATAGAGCTCCCTTGAGCCATGCAGCCTAGTGGCAGGCCCCCTTCACAGTAGGCATGCAGTCTTGGCTGTTGGGGGATAGAAAAGCACCATCTAGTTTAGGTAAAATAAACAAACTACTTTAGAAGAGGTAGTTCTGGCTAAAAATGCCATAGATTCAAAAATCGTTCTAATCTAAATTAATAGATCTTGTTAGGGTTTTTTTTTTTTTTTTTTTTTAAGTTAAGATTGTCAAGGGGATGTTCTAAATCCTTTATGAAGACAGCAAGATGTAATTTAAGAGACCTGGGTCCTCTTCCTACCTTTATCATCTACAATGTGCTCTTGGGCATATTGTTGAGTCTGTGAGCATCAGTTTTATAGCTGTCACAATGAGGACAATAAACTTTAACTCATACAGTGAACATGAAAGGAGATGTGATATGTAAAAGGTGTGACATTGCCTGGCAATGGTAAGTACTTAATTATTACTTCCCTACAGTATACATAGGATACATTTTAGTTTTTATGTTCTCTCTCAAAGTGTTACTTGATGCCACTGGCAGAGTTAAAATGGTGCAGTAAGTGATCTGTTCTGGTGAAGATGTTCTCTGTGTTTTCTTCTTTGCTTTGCAGAACGCACAGGTTTTTCCATCCGTCCTGTGGCTGGTTACTTATCACCAAGGGATTTCTTATCAGGTTTAGCCTTTCGAGTTTTTCACTGCACACAGTATGTGAGACACAGTTCAGATCCCCTCTATACCCCAGAGCCGTAAGTACTTCTACACCAGTATTCATTCATCAAATAGCTGTCTGTAATAATGATACTTACCTCATGATTTTTGGGTGAAGGTTACATGAATTAGCACATTTAAAGCATTTAGAACATAATACATGCTCTATGCTCTATATATGTTAGCCATTATTATTACTATTATTACTTGACAACCTGTTAGATGGCAGGTGTTGTTCTAAGCATAGAAGATGTAACACTGAAAAAAATTAGACAAAAATTCCTGCTTCATAAAGCTTATTTTCCAGTGGGAGATACAGATAACAAACAGCCTGTTTGGTGTTGATGATGAGTGACACGGAGAAAAATAAAGTAAAGAAAGAAGATGGAGGGGTGTATATGTATGGGTGGATGGAGGGTTGCTATTTTGAAAAGGGTGGTCAGGGAAGGCCTGGTAGGAAAGGTGATATCTGAGCAGAGACCTGATCTTTGGCAGGATCGGGGGGCATGTAGATGTCTATGGGTATCTGTATACACTTGTGTGTGTGTGTGAGTGCCCAAGGTATCGAATCAAAATTGTTTCTTTATTTCATTAGTGTCCTTTGAGATTTATTTCCAATGTAATACCACCTGATCAATTTGAATAAAAGTAAGATCTGATTTTAATTTGACTGAATGGTTGATTAATGCATTTATGTTAAGCATCACATCTGTGACAGACTTATACCTCTTTTTTAGAGATACCTGCCATGAACTCTTGGGTCATGTTCCCCTTTTGGCTGAACCTAGTTTTGCACAGTTCTCTCAAGAGATTGGCCTGGCGTCCCTTGGAGCTTCAGAGGAGGCTGTTCAAAAACTGGCAACGGTATCAATCTGGACGTAGCTGTACAGAGTAGTAATTCTTAATGGGTGGGATATGAGTATTTACATAGTTTAAAAGTACATATTCAAGATGGCCATTAGAAAATGTTTCTTTTCTCATATTTAATTTAATTCAATTTAATTTAAATAATTTAAATAACATTAAAGAAGGATATAGAAATGTAAGGTTTATCAAAGGGAGACATGAGCTTGAGAAAAGGCAGAGAAACACTAGAGTACAATAATGTTAATGGTTTGTATATCTTCTTTTTTCAATAAAAATGATAGGTTCCCTAAAATGATGCTAAAAATATTTTTAAGCAGTATATACAAGACACCACTCTGGAAATACAAAGATGAGGAAGGCATGGTCCCTGCCTTCAGTGAACTTATTCACTACTTGGGGAGACAGTTATGTTAGAAACGTGAGATGAAGGTGATAGAGAAGTTGAGGCCGAGTGCTCTGGGAGTGAAGAGAGCTGCCCAGGGAAGGTTTCATGGAGGAGGAACACCTGGACTAGCCCAGGAAAGATGAGTAGTGTTTTCCCGTGTCAACAAGGGAAAGAAGAGCGTAGCGT